TGTTAATGAGCTTTTTTTCATATGTTTGTTGGCTGCATACATGTCTTCTTTTGAGAAATGTCTGTTCATATCCTTTGCTCACTTTTTGATGGTTTTTTTTTTTTTTCTTGTAAATTTGTTTAAGTTCCTTGTAGACTCTGGATATTAGCCCTTTGTCAGATGGGTAGATTGCAAAAATTTTCTTCCACTCTGTAGGTTGCCTGTACTCTGATGATAGTTTCTTTTGCTGTGGAGAAGCTCTTTAGTTTAATTAGATCCCATTTGTCAATTTTGGCTTTTGTTACCTTTGTTTTTTGGTGTTTTAGTCGTGAAGTCTTTGCCCATGCCTATGTCCTGAATGGTATTGCTTAGGTTTTCTTCTAGGGTTTTTTATGGTTTTAGGTTTTACATTTAAGTCTTTAATCTGTTGTCTTTCTTACTCATACTTTTCCATTTCCTTTTTTCCATGTACAGAAAATGAAGGTTTTATTGTGAAGATTTTAGGCCCAAGAAGTTCTGTTTTTCTTTTATTAAGGAAAGGATTGATGGTTTTGGTATTAAGGAAGTCCAATAGGATTTTAAGAGATCTTATCTTCACAGCAAAGCACTGAAAGTCTTCAATGACTTCCACATCCAGTAAAACGTGTCTCTGAGGTTTTATTGTTCACAAAGCTGCTCCAGTTTTTGCCAACCATCCACTCTGAAGTCAATCTCTTTGACTTCAGTTCTGCTGTCTGGGGACGCACCTCACTGCTGTATTGGCAATGGCATTTCAGCTTTTTCATCCTCCTGAGTGACTAGAGAAAGTCCAGCCAGCCCCTCCAGCATCTTTACAAGCCATTCATGTGTTGAGTGGAGTCTCATTTAACCACCCAACTATTATCATGTCTTTCTCCACTCAGATCTATTGTATATTGACCAGTGCTTAGTAGGTTTACTGTGTGGATAATTTTTTGTTTTGAAGGTGGGGAACTTCTGTTCTCACATGCATGTACAGAATATTGAATTTGATGTCTTGGTCATACACTTCAGCTAAAATCAGAATTTTATTCTGTCTAGACAAGATTAAGAAGATGTATAGCCTTTTGCTTGTTGCTGTGCTGACGTGGCTGATGGCTTGAATAATTTAAGCCAATCATACAGTTGATTTCTGACCGTAGCATGTATCTGTGAAGAGCTGACCCCAAGTGCAGTGCAGTTTCATGCAGATGAGTGTGTTTGTAAGTGCAGGATGGGGGACGCATCTCTGCCCTGTACATAACTCAGTTTCAGTACCAGCTGTGGCCACCCTGAGCTGGCTCCCGGCAGGATTAGTTTTTGAGGTGGACCCTGAAGGACAGGGTGGGATTAATACTCAGGGAATCACTTTGGGAGTGTGAATGTCAGTGCTGCTGGGCCATGGAAGAGTTTGAAGCATGGTGTCCATTATCAGAGGTGTTTTCAGAAGATCCTTAGGGAGTAGTGTTTGGGAACGGTTGGTTTTGATGGGGGATGCTGGAGAAGGGACCAGTGAAAACACTGCATCAGTATCACACATGATTGCCGGTCAGTAAACTTGTGAAATTGGGTCTGGTCTTTTCCCTCCCTCCCTCCCTCCCTCCCTTCCTCCCTTCCTCTTTCTCCCTTCCTCTTTCTTTTCTTTTCT